TGTCTTATTAGAGATTGGAGCAATTTTTATTCAAGATATACCGTTAACTACAGTATTTTGTGTTAATTGGTCGCTTTGCTGTAATTTTTCTTTATGGTTTATAAAATTGCCTGGTTTCCGTTCAAAAAAAAAAAAAAAAAAAACTACAGTATTTTGGTTTTTTAAGTTGATATTACTTGTAACAATCGTGGTGACGAAAGAATAGAAGATACTGTTTTTTTTAACGACGATATATTGTTGTTATAAAAGAGATTAAATGACCAAGTTGTTGAGACTTTTTCATGATCTAAAATTAAGAAATGACGTCAAATCTCTTACGCGACGGCGGAAATTTGATACGAACTCGTTTAAACAAACTATACTCAGTATAATTTCCTACAAATTCAAGTTTCCGTGACTTGCTGAAATAACGATCTATCAAATTAAGAATTTAACCATATTTTTGGATTATACATCCAAAGCAAGATTCTTTTTCAAAATGTGTGAAAAAATTATGTCACTGATCTTTTCAAAATCCATATATATATACAAGTATACGATGAACACATTCAGTGTAGTAATTATACACCTGATCATATCATCGTAGCGATAGATTTTGAGCTATGGTTGGTTAATTAGCAACTGGGATAGCCTCGCTATCCCATAACTTTAGAGCATCTACAGACGGAACTTTTTGTGGCTTAATTACTGAAAAAACCTTTTCACCACTTTATCTATGTGAAAAAAATACGATGTCTTTTTACTTGTGACTGCACAAGTTTTAAATAAGCAATTTTACCTGACCATCTAAGTTAGGCTCATTTTATTAGAAGAAAAAAAAGGCTTCATGAGTTATGGATGCGAGCTCTAACATCCCTCTGAACGATCACAACTTTGACGTGTGTCTTTAAGAATCCATCAATCCTCGAGACAGTTTTCATTACGTTATATAGACCTTTATTAAATTGATATTACTTGCATTGAAGTAGTCAGTGTAGTCGCAACGAACTAAAGATATTGGTTTGTGCTCGACAATATGTTTTTAAGGGCCGTTTTTATTGCGAAAGCTTTGAAACACATGATTGATTTGCTATTCACTTAACGAAGACATTTATATGTTGTAAGATTATTAAAAACCCAGTTCAAAAAACAAAATAGAACCCCTTTAAGCTAACCTACTTAAAGCACCTCCAACAGGTTTTTGAAAATGCAGAATCAAAAGTCAAAATCTCGAAAATGTAATCAGGTTAATCTCCAACAGCTTCTCCATTTTAGAGATTACAATAATAGAGTATTATTTATTTGTTCTAAACATTTGATTTCAAGGATTCTCATTGATAAGAAGAATAAAAAATCATTTCTCTTTCCTAATTAATTATTTTTGAAGAATCCCCCAAATTTGTAAAAAAAAACCCTGTTAATGAACTAAAATCTCCATTTTAAAAAATCTGTTGAAAGTGCTCTTAGTGATCAAGTCACACTACAAGTTCAAGATTTCTTTTTTAGGCATAAAGATCGTTTACAAAAATTAACATCATATGTTAATACATCCAAAACAAGAATCTTGATTCCACAAACGTGTTTAATTAACAAAATCCCATCTCATTTTCATCTTTCTCGAATCCACCTGATATGAATACGAGTATATGAGCATCTATACACCCAATCACATGAAAGTTAGGAGGAAAATTGATACCGATTAAGGTTAGTTAATATCAGGTTAGTCTCGTAGCCCTAATTAACAAACCACGCCATTTTAAACCCTTACAACTTTGATTAACTTGCGTATCGAAGACTCCATCAACGTCTACACCAGGGTTTTCGACACGAGACCCTATCGATCGAGCGTCTTAAATTCCCAAGAAAGTTGTAGAGATTGAAAAGACTTGGAGCTTGTGGACAATATTAACAAGTTAGATCTCAATTTGGCAATCATTTTAATCACATTAACTCCCGTCACTTGGAACCACACAAAATTAGGGTTTCTGAAAAGCGGAGTAAATGAAGTCGATGCCACATTCATCCAAATCTAAATACATCATATTATGCATTTATACATTCCCTCCCACACACGGCTATCATACCTCAATTCCCTCTTGTTTCTTCAACTTGTTCTGAACCCACTAGTTTTATTCGTGGATCATAATCTTTTCGGTCGTATAATTTTATTCCAACTTTATATCCTTGTATACGTGACTTTTTAACATATAAATTAATGGACAACTTTTTTTCATGATTTTGGTGTCTCAATCATTGTATACTAACATACAGATATACACTACATGCCAAATAATACAGGTTATAAAAAGTGCTCTTTTTCGGACACGATTAATGTTATCTAAAAGAATCAAAATACGTATATTTTCACCTAATGTAATTCCAAGAAGAGTTCAGTTCATTTTTGATCAATTTTATCACGAAAACCAGACATTCGCTATCATATTAAAGTTCATAGTCGTGTAAAACAAAATGTGTTTTTTTTTAAAGATATTTTAGACGTCTTTAAAACGATCTTAAAATCGAGTACTTGATATATATAAAACTTAGGTTTTATATATTGAAGTTACAGTAATTGTCAAAAAAAAGTTAGACGATCTTACATGTTTATTTACGAAGTTGGACAAGTAAATAGAACACAAGAATAACTCGGCTTTTCAACCTTTTTATATTCACTATGACAAAATTCGGGTTTATAGGATGTCAACAATGTTTAGCCCTAAATCCTAACAGACCACTGTATAAGACTTAAGTTTATAAGACCAAACAATAAAACATTTTAATCTAAAAGGTATTGTAATGGGTGTACAAGACGTTTTTTTTGAACGTTTTAACAAGTTTTTTGAACATTTTTAAAATAAAACGTTGTATTAGCTATTTTATAGGACACTTACAAAAAATTGTTCTATAAAACACATCTTTTTACAGGGTGCTTGTTTTTACATCACACTTTTCCAATGGTGACCCAATCTTAAAAAACTTGTTAAGATGTCTAAAAACGTCTTATAAACATGTTGGAACACTTTTAGATATGACGTTTTATCATTTTTTCAGTTCAATTAAATTGCCAAAATTCGTCAATAAAGCTTAGGTTCTCTAACTCCATAGTAAAGCTTATCGAAAAATAATTATACGAGACCCTAGCTGTAGGTTCTAAAACTTAAAAATACTATTAAGCACTCTATTAAGACCCTCAATAAGGAGAAAAAAAATACTATTAAGCACTCTATTAAGACCCTGAATAAGGAGAAAACCAGTCTTTCTTTGCGTGTATAAAATATTAAAAAATAGTTTTAAAATTATATTATTTAAAAGAAAAAATGAAGGAAAATAGATTTTTCTTGAAAGTTGTTGACATGTGGCAATGTGACATGACATAAAATTTATTTTGAACCTCAAATTATTACAATAATTTGCCCCTTAATGCACGTAAATTAATAAAATATGGAAAATGATCGATATTTTATCAATAAAAATATTTTTTATAATTCAAATAAATAATTAATGAAAATACAAATTTTCTTGTATATCACGTTCTCAGAATACGAGAAAACAAAGTGCAGTCACCACTCAAAAGAGTCAACTCTTTCCAATTCTATTTTGACTTTTTAAAGCTCAGAAGCTTTTCCTTTTTACCTCAAAACTAACGATTAGAAGTTTTGTAAACAATAATTTGTTTATAAAATGAGTTACAAACGAAAATAATAATTAAATATTAAAATAGTTAAATCGGTGTATTAAGAGTGTGTAGGCGACGTGACTCTCCATCGAGCATGAACCACATGTGGTTTTACATACGATTTTAGTGTAAAATCGAATGTGAATCGATGGTGTTCTTATATTCTTATTTGGCTATTAATCACGTACGAACCTGACTATATATATATATATATATATATATATATAAGTGGAGGTTCAAACGAGAACCCCTGTGATTTACGAGAATACGAGAACAACCCAATAACCTCAAACTTTTTTAATTAATAAATTAACTTTTATTATATATAAATAATTTAA